GAATCCAGTTTTTGTGCAAATAGATTTTTAGGTGAAAACGTCAATTGACTTATTACAGAGGGGCTGAGGGCCAACTCCTACAAAATTCAACAAAAGTGTTCGCAACCTTTTGGGGTCACATTTTCCAACCGCACCTGCTTCCATCAGGAATTCTTTAAGGCGGCGGCGTCCTTTCACCTGTGCACCTGTCTGAAATACTGCAGCAGGTGAGACCCCGTCGTATATAATCACGACACACACATTGCACATGAAAACAATTTGTCCATCTGAGGTCTAAACCAGGTCACACGCAAGGGAAGCGAAGATTTCATTAAAAATCGAGCTTTTGACTTCGCCGCAACACGCCGGTACAAATTGGTTTCAGCCATAACAGGTCGGGGAAAAGGAGGAATGTTCACGTTTTCTACCATCAAAATGAGTATTACGAACAGCGATCGATGAACACCAAGCTTGTCATTTCATAAAACACTTGACTTTTATATTAGGAAATATTTCTTTTAGACGAGCCACATCAATGGCTGCATCTTCTTTCCAAGTTAATCTGCATTATATGCGATCCAGTGCCCTGACTTTGAGCAAACAACACAGGACACCCAATCCTTCTGAAACACAAGGTCACTTTCACGCGTGAATGTTGAACAGGTGGAAGTCGATTAATTACACATCACAAGAAATCCTTCACGGGTTTCGATCATGATTAGTCTTTCCTCCAGCCCGTTTAATTTGCTGCCATTTGAATGGCTGTAAACATGTCCCATCTAGAATTTGGAATTCTTCACTCAAAATTGCCCGACTATATTCCTTTTTACCCCGTTCGTGTTTACCAATGACACGTTATTGACAGCCTACCATTGACTGTAGAAAGCTTGCGCCGAACCATTTCGTAGATTATGTGCATACTCGCGAACAGGTTTTCTTTAGAAAGCACTCAACTTAGATGAATAATGTCTTCTTTTCTGTTAATGTAATTTATTTGAGTTGTATGTACATGTTAGGCCAAATACCCTCAATACAACTTGCTATTGTCGTTTGCGTTTACTTTTGCCCAAGGGTGGAAAGTGCGGGCGAATTCATGGTTGTGTGATGGTTATCGACATTCCAAAGCCCGTTCTCGTGTACATGTAGACACAACATTGTTTGAATACGCCCTGTGATGCCAGCTTGCAAACAGATCTACAGCACGGCGCCTCAAACCAAAAACGCGCGTCCCAGCTAAACCGTTGAGAATATTGGGTCATATGAAAAGAAAAAAAAGAAGCAAATGCTAGGAAGTACAAGCAAACAGCAAAAGCATTTACTTTGGAGTAAAAGCATTCAGGAAAAGCAAATGCTTCGTCGTCGTTCGTATGATGCTTCCGTAGCTAAATCACACGGGAATTACCAATTCTTGCAGCCATTTGGCTGTATCTTCATCTAGCTCGATCAGACGGTGGGACCGTGAGGGGCTTGAAGATGGGGCAGGCTTGCAGGATGTGTTCTATTGTCTGCGGAGACCCACAAGAGCACATGTCACCGTCACACGCACCAAGTCGCATGCTTGAATCGGTATGAATAAAAGTTTTCTTTTACTGTTCAGCAATAAACCAGACAGCATGGAAGCAAATGCTTCTTTGATTGATTGCATGGACGAATGGTTGTCAACAATAGTATATCTTTTGTATGTGTGTAGGCTATTGCACCAGTTTGTTTATGGTGTAAATCGAGGATTTTCTATTGCTCCTCTTCCCTTTTCTTTTGTTTATACTTAACTTTTTCGCAACAGCTCTCATTGTTTTTTTTGCAAGTTTTCTAATCGAGGTCATCCTCGATTTTGTTCCTGTCCTCAATTCATCGATGATGTTGCACGTGTGTGTCCTCGATTTACACCATAAACACGGACTGGCACACGCACACACAAGCAGCCTTTAATACATACTTGTGGGAAGACCTTTGTTTCCCTTCTGTTGTTCTCCTTTGTTTCTATTGAAATCCATAACGTATTCCTTATGGGACAGATTTTTAAAGACATCCTTGTGGGGTCTATCGTTCTGTTGTGTATTCTACCCCATAATAGGAAGCATGTACATTATACAGAGTTTACATGTAGGGTAACAGAGTCCAAATCATCAAGGTGATGTATACAGTACAGCAGTGAATTTAATCCTTAAATCCATTTCAAATGATGAACATTTTCGCCTGTTGAAGTATGCAGAAATTTTACTTTCGTGAAACTTGTTAAGCGCCACAGTGTCCTGTAGACAAAGTCAAATTTGCCTAAACAAATCCAGAAACATATTTCAGCCGGAAAGAAAATCTTACCAAAATTCAATATACAAAGTTTTTTTGGTTAGAAAATGTATTAAATGTTGAAAAAATAAAATTAAACGTTTGAAAAGATTCAGGTCTACCTCTTAAATGTAATAAATATTGAAAATAAAATTAAACGTTTGAAAAGATTCATTACCTAACAAATCATTAACCCTTTACGAACATATTTGCTTAATTTAAAAACATTAAATTTATAAATTCTGCCATTTTTGCGCAAAGGTATTTGCCTTATATTTTTAAGGTAGCCCCGAAACAACCTTGAAAAATTACCAGTAAATACCTGAAACATGAAGCTGGATTTCTGTAGCTGCTTCATTCGAAATCAAGTAAACAATAGTAGTCAAGCAAATGCTAAAAAAAGTAAATACTTGCAGTTTTGTTAGCAAATGTTTTTCAGTCAAATCGGTCTCATAGTTTTTATTCATACAGATGCGAGTAAATCTTTTAAAAATGGTAGCAAAAGAAAATCCCAAGTTATAAACATACGGCCCAATATTTTAGCGAAAAGATTAAATCGGTGTTGTAATTAAGCAATTTAATCAGGTCGTCCAAATAACATGAGAAAAACCGAAACTGTGTACAATAGACAGAAACTTTTACACATTTCGTTTTGAAAATTACGACCAGGATGGACAGGCGTAGTCGCATATAGACCTGAGACACGCTTTGCTTACATGTGCACTTTCTTATGGGAGTTTAGTGTGTCTAAACAAACTCCCATAAGAAAGCACACACGTAAACAAAACGTGACAATATGTTTCCGGCCAATTTGGTCGCCTTCAAGAAGATATCATGATGTATTCATGCCTGTCCCACTTAGGCCTACCTCTTAAATGTATTAAATACTGATAAACATACGGCCCAATACTTTAGCGAAAAGATTAATGTCGGTGTTGTAATTAAGCAATTTAATCAGGTCGTTTTTCTCATGTTATTTATAACATGAGAAAAACCGAAACTGTGTACAATAGACAGAAATTTTACAGATTTCGTTGTAAAAAAAACATAAATTAAACCCTCCATGTTTATATTTTTAACTTGCAGACATCTACTAAATATTTTGGCATGCAGTGTTTGATTTCCCAATTGTATAACTATTAAGTGAATAATTCATTACCATGTCAGGGTATGAAGAAATGCCTTCAAAAATATCTAAAGGCAATGCCCTCATTATTTGTTAGTATGCCATTGCGTATGTGTAGATTTTAATGCAATATCTAAATCTGCGCTCTTACCCCACAGTATAATACATGTATAGTACTTAGATATTGCCCTTCCATCACCTTTTTCACGTAAATACAACAGCACAAGACGGGCAATGAGCGTAAAACGCGCAGTGTGTATAATGGAGTCAGGTAGCCCCCCCCCCCCCCCCCCCGCGTGTTTGAATTTCGTATTTGTGTTAGTCGCCATTCTCCCCAATGTTGACAAGAACTCACCGCTCCTGCACGCTGTGTAGGTAAAAAGGCATTTGTGGCCTTCCGTGGAACAAATCTGTTAGTAGGCCTAGACCAAAAACAGCAAGTACATTTTCCCTTTTGGAGGTGGCCCAATTTTTCTTGAAGGAACTAAAATAACGATCACCCCAATTGAACCTCGACAATGTCCGCTAGCGCTCAGATAGCATTTGAAAATTACGACCAGGATGGGCAGGCGTAGTCGCATATAGACCTCAGACATAATGACGTCGCGCTTTGCTTACATGTGCACTTTCTCATGGGAGTTTAGTGGGTCCAAACAAACTCCCATAAGAAAGCACACACGTAAACAAAACGTGACAATATGTTTCCAGCCAATTTGGGCGCCTTCAAGAAGATATCATGATGTATTCATGCCTTCCAACTTAGGCATACCTCTTTTTTTTTCTTTCTATTTATAAAAATACTAAATGGGGTGGCGCACTTCCTCGCGGCACTGCCCGCCCTGGACCCCTCCCCCTCTCAATTACGCAACTGCTTGAATATGTAGGGCTATAGGATTGATGAGAGGTGTTTATAAGAAGGGTAGAGTATGTTATAATGTACAAGCATTACATTCACTGTGTGGACTTCCGAACAAAAGATGTCCACATAAACCAGGTAGCAGCGACGTTGTGTGGACTTGCCCTCGTCCACACAATGTTTCCCCCTCTCTGGAAAACAGATTTAGAGGCAATTTTGGGGTTAGGTTTATTTATGGCAAAATGAAGAGAAACACTAAAGGGAATCATAGAAAAACAAATTTGGTTGAAAGAGTTTTCACAGTGCGAGTAAAGCGTGTTTTTTTCACAGGTTTTTCTCAACTACACGAAAATAAAAGAATGTCCACACTAGGTATGTAACGTAAACATGCATGTTTTCCTGAGGGTTATAGAAGAAATGGCGTATATTTCGGAGGACCTGCTTGAAATTGAATTTACACGTTCTTGAAGTTTCACTTTGATGCACTACAAAATGGCGTGGTTTGTTTTTTGGACTCACAGCTTCACGCCCGGCTTAATTAATGAGAAGACATATATACGCCATAAATAACAGCGGTCTTTCGTCAGCAATGACCCAAAACCGTGACAGAAATTACCTTCTAAGTGACATGCATGTTGTCAACTTACATGTAGTGACAGCTGGATTTCTGGTAACAGGCAACGTGTAAATATGTGAGTTAATGGGACTGGAGACAAAGACTAATGCCTTAACAAACTAAATAATGGAACATACCTTTGAAAGCATATGCCTTTTCCCTGGTGAAAGACGAGCAAGATACCAAGCTAGTGGATTTTGCACGGGCTCTGTTTCAAGCTACAAGGCACAAGGTAAACAAAGACATAGCTTACAGGGTTTGTTTTTCAATGAAACTGCAGGTATAAAGATTAATATGTTAATCTAATAGCGTTATTTCAAACCTAAAATAGACTCTCTTAGCTTTGCGGTGTTCAAGAGCTCATGGTTAACTCGGCAATGGGGAACATGTCCATTGCATGGATATCTTTAGTGCGTGGTCAAAGACTTTTTCGCTTTATTTGCCATAATTATGGCATGATGCAGTTGACTTCCAAATTCAGAAATGTCCAGTTCAATTGACTTCCGCTTGAACTGAATGTTTACGGAGGAATTCGTGCAGTTTTGAGTAGTTTTCACCTTAACGAATTTATGTTGTGTTGGAAGAACAGTGTCTGCATTAAACCGTACCCTAGCTCGTTTGGAAGTTAAGTGCCCAAGTCGGGTCTATCGTTAGACGGACGGAAGAATGTAGCCCTTACGACCACCCCTAGTCCCTGCACTAATATCACCCTCCTTCCATATTGAAATACCCTGGTAATCCCGGTATCCATCCGAGGCATGGCAAACAAGTTAGCGAGGTTTTACAATAAGGATGACTTGAGTCACTTTGTACCCCAACAGTGTCATTGGTGACTGTCCCTTTACTGCCAGGAATGGAATTATATCATCCTGCTTATATTTATAAAACTGATTCCAATTTTTCTCATGGTTTCGTATAAAATAACTAATGTCAAGTACTATAATGCGCGAAAACCACTCAGAATTTTCAAAATAATTAAACCGACGAACAAAACACAACACAAATGCCGTAATGAAATCGCCTTATAAAATAAATGATCAAGTACTGCTCGAATGCTCGTGTAGATTTACCTCTTCTGAATCTGCGGCGCCATCCATCAGGTTAAGGTAGTGTTGAGGCCTTATGTCAGTCTGTGATCTTTTACCATCTGTGAATCATAAAGACATAATAGAATAGCTGAATGAGTTGGTTTCATGAGAGACTATCAATCAGTGTTGTATTCCAGCCCTTCCAGTGGCGTAGCCACGGGGGGGGGGGCGTGGGGGCGACAGCCCCCCCCCATGAAACCTTGTCGCCCCCCCCCCCCGTCGCCCCCCCCCCCACACTGAGATTTTGAGTTTCTAAAAAAATTATCATTGATCTACATGACGCCCCCAATGAAAGGTTCCAGCCCCCCCCCCCCCCCCCCCCCCCCCCCCCCCCCTCCACTGAAAAATTCCTGGCTTCGCGACTGAGCCCTTCACAAGTCATTTCACGAGTCTTTCATAAGTCCAACCACAAGTAACGGGATGACCAATGACAAAGTAACGCTCATCTAGCCAGTGACTTGAGACTGAACTGACTTGTGGTAGACTTGTGATGGAGTTACAGGGACTTGTGGTGACTCGTGATAGTCTCGACTATAAGACTGGTATCCATCGGTTTGTATTTACACCATTGAATAATCTCTAAGGATGTCCGATCTGGTCTTCTTTGGCCATGCATTTGAATTAAGGCATCGATTTAAGGAATGTCGTTCTAAAAACTGATGAATACAAACAGGCCTTATATACATGTAATTCATAACCTGTGATGGAAGTCTAATCTTATTTGTGTAAATTATTACGAGCATTGTACGTTGAATGTTTTCTGCTAAAAGTTAGTTTTCGAGACCCAGATCCACGGATATTCTCCCAGCTTTAATATTTTCCCCATAATTTTTTTTAATGCTGAAAATTAGCTTCCCTAAAATCGGAATGTAAATATTTTTAGCAACCAAAAAATGCACAAAAAGCGCGGCGCTTTTTGACCAATAAAACAACAGCGAGTTGGATAAGTCCGTCCATAATGTGTATATGTTGTGCATCGTTATGAAAACATGTCCATTCTCTTTATGCTTGATTAAACTTTCCGTTTGTCCCTCACCCGACAATGTTTAGGTATAATCTTTGCATTTAATTAACTTTTAGTTATATCTGTGAACAATGGCTCTAAGGTCGCTAAGAATGATTCGTCAATGAATCTTCCAATTCATGGCATCCATTCTAAAGAAGTCACACCACTCCTTTTCCCATATCAAGTGGCGGCAATCAAACGACTTTGATTCAGAAATTAATTCAATAATAATGGCACCATAAGCCTAAATGGACCGTTTGAAATGAATTTCAGAGGCGCGTGAATCTATGTTCAATATCTTCGAGAAAAAAAAACAATTGGGAAACGTAGAATCCTTTAGGTGTAGATTTGAACGAAAATGTTGATATATTTGTTTTAAGGTACAGTAAACCATGAAGGGTCACGTGTCGTCGAACCTATGACTTTTGGTTGTTTTATTTTCATGAATTGTCCAACCTATATTTTAATTGAATGTGTTCGCCCTTATGCAGAATGCTTATCAAAACAACCTGGAATTTAAAAAGGTTTGCGAATAAACATTTTATTGAAAATTTGGTAGAAAAGAGTACCACAAGAGTCCCAATCATTCATCTTACTCATGTCATGAGAACACAAATTTATACAAAACTCTCAAAGGTGTCATAAAAATGTGGGACCTTTCGACAACATAATCCATTATTGTTTGGCGCAATTACAGTCTTTTAATGTGTTGTTTCTAACATGCGTTCTCGTGCGGTTTTTAATATATCTGATGGTGAACGAAACTGTTTACGTTAGTCCTGTGCCATCCAATACACCGATTTCATGCGATTCTTATCAGATGGTAACATTTCGTAATTTAGGTACATGACTGAGTGTATCCAAAATGTGTATTTATCTGATTGTTACATGGGATTATTGTCAAAACACTGATCACGATTAAAAGGTAGCCTTTTCATACAATTTGTTGAGTGGCAAAAATATCATACGGTATTACCTGCACTAAATAAAATTAATGCGAAAAAAAATGTTAAAGACATGTATTTTCTGTGCTATGTTATTTTTTTTTGGTTTTTTTTATGATGTTAACTTTCTAGCAATACACTTTGAATGAGAAATCGACCGAAAATAATTCACTCACGTTTAGTTAAAGTTGGTATTAACTTGCTTTTTCAAAATTTCGATTTTCTTTTCCGAACAAATATTCAAGGAATATAATGTCCTGTAACAAATAAACTTGCTTGTCTGCATTTGCAGGCCTTTTTACAGTTTTAACAATGGCGTAGGCCTAATGAGGATGATACTATACCTCGCAGGAATGACAATATGATAGAAATGTACCGCATGGATATTGATTACAGTGATAAAAGCATAGGCTATGCCGTCGTTTATGTTGTAATTGCGTCAATTAATCTGAAGGCTATTCGACACAACGTACATCCTTTTTTTTTACTGAAAAGGAGTAATTATTTCACCATTAAGCCTTTTTGTATCAGGGGCCCACTTATACACCGGGGGATTTAGGGGGCGGGGCCGGTGGCGCCCCCCCCCCCTTGGGCCGCCAACACCCCCCCCCCCAACAACCCGCCCCCCGACACCCCCCACCCAGCGTAAAAATTAGAACCCTTTATTTCTACCAACACCAATACTAAAATGCGCTCAACATGCCCTCGGGTCTGACGCCCCAAAGGAGGATTTTTTGCATCCCGGAAAATGTCTAGATCCGTCGGTGCGGGCACAATCCTTAATCGTTCACATCTACGTCGACTTAAGCCACCCCAAACACTTATAACACAATTACTTTAAACTCCGATATTTGGTATTTGGGAAGATTGAACTGTTTTGATATTGTTCTTGCAGTCAAAAATAACCGTTGATCGGTAAAGAGAAATTCAATGGAAATGAGTATACGAAGTGTGCCGTCTTATCGCCAGCTGGCAACTGACCGGGCCTTAGTTTTGCTGTAGATGCCGGCATATCACAGTAACTGGCAAAGAGACTATAGAATTATAAATATTGGTAACGATAAGCTACGTGCTGTCGTAATGGACTGTTCACAGATAATCATGTTGTTTGCATTTTAACCCCCCAAAATGGCATCACAATACACACTAATGGCAATCCGTGATAAATGGGCAGTTTGTTGAAACGAAACGCGGCAACGCGCCCCTACTTACGACTTGCAGATGAAGCTCCTTAACAAAGCATATATTTAGTCACCTAGGCCATCTCCAGGTTCTCAATAACCCATCTTATCAAGTGCGTTAAAATCTTACGTTAAAGTGTTAAGTCGACGTTAAGTACAGACAACAGGGATACTTAGTCGATAAAAGAGGTATTCCTGGATTCGCATTCAGGTTTTCATCGATTACATTGAGTTCCGGTAGTGTTATACTCTTTAACGTCAGAAATCTGTGACATACTAAAAGAATCGTTTGCAGTACATGTACTATAAGTTTGGTGCGGATAAAAAAGTTAGTGCCTATATACAGCGATATTGTGTACTTTCTTGTATGCAAGTAGTAATGAAGTCATTGTCAAGGATGTGGCCGAGAGTTATGAGACGGTTGGTTGGCAACTGAAAGTTATCTAAAAGAAGAGGAATCTGGAAAATGTAGCCCACAATAACTGTGATTATTTTTTCGCCATGTTAAATGATGCGTGGCACCTTAAATTTCAAATGGAACAACAACCAACAACAATTTTTTTAGAAAAATCCAAAAAGAAACTAAAGGTAAATAGAGATTTAAAGGCATCATAGGATTATTTGCTTTTCATGCATTTTGTTCGTTTCCAATAAACATCACTAGAAGAATGTTCAAACCTAACCTCTTAAAGTTTTAGCTCAGTGGATGTTACACTTTTTGAGAAAACAGTGGGAAAAAAACATTCACAGCCTTTGATCACGAAACACGATTTCTTCAATAGCACTCTTTATTTTTTAAAAGAAACTATATTATAGTCAATTGACTGATCGTTGCAAATCACCTACAAATTCTTGATTTCTTCTAAATGACAGCAAGCCAGACGGAATAATTTCACGGGGCTTTTAGTACCAGTACGATATTTAAACCATAGCGTTGTGATAATAATTCGGTAGGTTACTTTTGGGATAAATGTGCAAATGAAACAATTACATTTTATTTAGGCCGCCCTCGTGTCTACCTTGCGACGACACATAACAGTCGGCGATTGACTTTTCAGGATCAAGCTGCATCTGAGGTACGACCGTCTGAGTCGACGTTACGTCATTTCGTTCCGAAATCTGGACTAAGCTGTTGAATGGTCAATTTGGATGCCATGTTTTTTGTAATACAACGATGGGCATGGAGATCTAACAAAGCTCAACATTGGCTTTCAAAACGGCTTACCAAAGACCCAATATAGAAGGCGCGGTTAGGCGCCCGATGAATGGTCAGAATCTCGGGGTTAAGACGCAGTCTATAGTTGGATAATTAATCGCCGAATCTGCTCGCATATCATAGACCCTTGCTGTGCAAGGGAATATTCCATAGACTACTTGATCCACGAGAATCACACGATTTCTTAGTTTTGTGACCTGAGCATGACTTTTCTGCTTGATGCCGATGGTTCCGTCGTGGCGCAAGCAAATCGCTGGACGACCCGAGGCCGCCCTAAAGGCCGCCCTAAAGGCTAGCTTTAGCGTCGTACGCGTAATGCAGTCGGTAATGCGCCCGATACTTGATGTCGCCTTCTTGCATTTCCACGATTGATGGACTTCACAGCAAGCATTAGAAATGTACACTTTGGTTAACGACAATATAGAAAAGTTGTTTGTAAAATATTTGCGAAAATAGGCGATTTTTGCTTTCAATTTTTCCCCATTGACATGTCCCGTAAACCAATTTCAATCCCGACTACGACATCCCTACATGACTTTGTGGGGCTTTTGCCCAGTTTATTTTCAGGCTCTCTTGTCCATATGACCTCTTCAGGATGTAGGCCTCGGCTCCATTTTCTACTTTCGAGAGGAACCTGACATTAAACTGAAATACATAACAAAAATGTACTGTGGGCCATATTTCTGGCACTATACATGTAGTTTAATTATGTGCAGCATTTTCCCTTTGACTGCTTGGTAGCGGGCCTCGGCAAGCGCAGACATTGCTTTCTATATCTCGAAGTCTTCGTTAACATGAACAGCGATATAGCAGCCGTTATCAAAAAAATATTTTGTTCGAAAACAAATATGGTATTTTGTACAACAAACAGATATTGTCAACCCCAGTTCACCTACCCATTAACCCCTAAAGGGTAGGGGCTTCTGATGAAATTTATGCGAACATTTTTTTTTTGTTAATTAGCGATTTTTGAAAGAGAATAACATCCCTATAAGATTACCTAGAAATGACAAAGTACCCAGAACATGATTTAGCGCAAGTGTCCACAGTAATGTGTACCGCCGTAATGCATTATTAGCCGCACTGCTCATAAGACTAATGCCCCTATTACAAAGTCGTTTAGTTTCTAATCACCGCCAACGAAACATGGCTTATACAGGATCTTAGCAGAGGCCTTGAATTCATTAAAAGCTGAAGCACCTTGCCAAACAATAACCTATGGAGGATTTCTTGATAAATTGATCAATTTGTTAGAATTACAGATGTCATATCAGGCAGCGTCTCGTAACAATACGTGGGGCTTGCTGAAATACAGCTGCCCTACCACTGCTTGATCCTTAAGATAAGGCACTTCAAGCATAAGTGTATTGACTTATGAATATTCAGTTTCACTTTGGTTTCTGTCCACCCATAATATTTCGCCTGATAATATCTACGACCCTGATATAGTATTTGAAGTAATGATGACTTTGACTTTCCAACTAAATTTTTGCCTTACTTGGGTCATCTTGTATACGAGTGTGTTTGCAAAATAGCCACAGTTCTCTCGATAACCTATAGAGTATTGATTAGGATTAGGATTTTTCTTTGATAGTTGCTACTATCAACGAAGCTAATTGCATAAAGTGCCCTCGGTGGAACCGAAAATGACACACTAGAGGTACACACTTCACCATATAGGACACTTCTAAGACGTTTTAGTAGTTTTTTTATGGGCAACAAAGCAACACCAAGCAACAAAGGATGACAGCCTCAACAATCAAAAACTTTATATTCAGTTTAATCGATGGAAGAAACGAATTTGTGTCAGATCATCCCCTGTGGTATGGGGCTGAAATACACAAATCCAATTTCACAATTACTGGGACGCTGCCAGAGTCGTACATAGCGAGAGTTGCGACATGAGGGGTGTCGACTTGCAACGTTATCTAAATCTCATTGTCAACGACATTGACAAAAAAAATTAAGGAACATGTTGACTGTGAACGAAAGTCCCACAGCCGTGCGTTCACTACGCGAGCTGAGTTAAATCCAAAACGATGGTTGTCGCAACTCTCTCTAAAAACGGCTCTGGACTTTCCTATGCCTTTTAACACGGAGCTTCTTATTCATCAAATTTGAAAAGAAAAATAGAAGGCTAACCAGGCTCACGACAATAATATTCGAAATCAAAAACGAATTATGTGAAACAATGCATCTTCAGAAATCCTTGATACCACTACATGATTACGCTGATAGCTTGATACTAAGACCATGCATGCAGGCAGGGTCACTCACAACAAATCTTGATGGGTAAATTTCATTTATTGTTTTCATAGTGCGAGAATTAAAGAAGCTTTGAAAAATTAGATTATGCAAAGGAACGACCAATGGCAATTTGGCGAGGGTAGCAGTGTGATGTAACGGTGAGTCCTGACATTCAGGGGTGTCAAGACTCTGAATAGTTAGAGAGAATGGGAACATTTGATCCTAAGCCAGGGTGGTGTTTCCGAAGTCATATGCAAAGGTAAGACACATTTCAAAGTACCCACTTTATCGATTACCTGAGAGATTCCCATTGTGTCAGGGAGGATCTATATTACATGACAAATATTTCCCTTCCCAATGGCACATATTTTTACGGAAAATTAGTTGAATCGATATAGATTGTAAAAAGTCATGAAATCTGTGCACAATATTAAAGTTGAAAGAACTTACATGCCGGTCCAAAGATTCTGTTGAAGTTTGTTCGAGGTTGTGCAAGGCACATTACCGAGAGGCACATGATAGCCACGGCTAGCCGCTGAGATGCGTTCACCATCGTTGACAGAAGAAGAAAGAAATTTATTTACAAGCCTCTACCAGAAACTGCCTAAATTTCAGCCTCAGAGAAGACGGCACTAGTGCTGGCTGAATCCCAGCCCTGCGTGATACCCCAGTTGCAAACTCGATTCTTGCCCGATCACGTTTCGTGAACGGTTAAGATGGTTTTGTAACGTCGCCTCTCCCCTGGTCTTCTCTTGTTCTTGCAGTTTTTCCTCCTGTTCCGTCTAGAGCCCAGTCGTGTTTTCTTCTGCACACTTGCCGGACTGGAGGGGCCCTTATATATGGGCAATCTTCGTCGGCAAACTAACCAGGCGACATGATGTGATTTGGCCTTGTCAGCTCAGTCAGTTGTATAGCTAAAAGACGCAGGCGGACGGGCGGTCTCTCGTACGTCCAAAGACGAGATTTTCTAGAAATTGAGCGCCATTCAGCGGGTCGTCAATTCATAATACATGAATGGGCTTCATTTTGGCGCCCTTCAAAACATCAGGAGGGGGCTAGATTAAGTGAAAGCTGGCTCGGGTATCACAGTTCATAATCTCAGTAGTTCATCAACTCATCCATCGTTGGTCAATGACATCGTGTTAGCCTAAACAATCTATCAATCAACAACACTTGGCAAGAAATGAAATACATGTAAGTACACGTGTTTTTGACAACCTTTTTCTTCTGCGCGCATTTATTTGAGGAATTTACAAATCTTGTTGAAAAGTATGGTTCAAGACGAGAACTATACATCGTTTTTTAAATATTTTTCTTCTTTCCGGTAATTAGTTTATTATTGACAGAGAAAGGGGGAGAGGGTAGTTGCGATATAACCCCCCCCAAAAAAAAAAAAAATTGTAATAATAATAATAATAATTAAAAACAAAACCTGGATACGCTACTGTATTTAGTAATTCATCACTCTATCAAAACTTGTCTGCAATGTCAAAAAGTTTTGTCAGACAAGTGACATCTGAACGATTAAAGAGTATTTTTTATTCCTCAGCAACCATGCAGTTACAATAACGAAATAGATGTTATCCATTCTGCTAGTCGTTTTAATGGGTTAAACCTTGCGACATGCTTGTTGACTGACGTATTTAATATCACAAATCACATTAGATCTACATCAAACCAGATGCATGGAATCGAAACCGCCTCCTTGACCATTTAACATCGAGTTCTGTGAAATGATAAATGAATAATGGCGAACCCGTCAGCTTTGTTATTGAGCTATTCACACCCCTTCGTCTAGACAAAATAATTATTCAAAAATTGTCATTGTGACGTTATAAGGGTGTTCATGTCATACAGCTCTATAGTTCATGTGTAACATCGCCGAAGTATAAACTATACCATTACCCAGTGGCGTAGCCAGGAATTTTTCAGTGGGGGGGGGGGGGGGGGCGCTGGGGGCTGGAACATTTCATGGGGGGGCGTCATGTAGATCAATGATAATTTTTTTAGAAACTCAAAATCTCAGTGGGGGGGGGGGGGCGACTGGGGGGGCGACAAGGTTTCATGGGGGGGGCTGCTACCATCTTCCAAAATAGGTGGCGCTCTTCAAAACCAGCCATTATGTAAACTACGCATTATGTGCCCTTTTTCAGGGCGCATTGTAAGGGTTTTGGGGCTTGGTTTTCATATTCCTCGTTCATATCAGAACTCTCCCTTACCATTTTTGGGGAAATTGTTACTGAAAACAAACTATCCGAAATGGTAGGGCAAGTTTTGTTTTCATCTCGAGGAGGCACATTATGCTCGAAGGGGGCACATTTATGTCCGCAAGAGGGGCAGTTGGGCAAATCGGGGGGGGGGGCAAGTGCACCCCTACCCCCCCCCCCCCCCCTACCCCGTTCCGCCGCCCCTGATTGGATATAACACTGGGATTCTGGTACTTATGGTTAGGTTGAAACGAAAATAAAATTCATTATTTGGCAGATACCAACAAGGGTGGATCCAGGGGGGGGGGGGCAACGGGGGCCATGCCCCCCCACCCAAAAAAAAAACAGAACCCCTTTTTTTTTGGAAGTGACCTCGCAATAAAGGCAGGAACTGCGTACACCACCATCTTTTCCTCTAAAACGATTTGGTTAAAGTGGTCAGAAATTGCCTTAGATCGCACCACAGAGCATCTAGAATCCAAACACTTTTCGGGGCCCTTAAGCGGGCTCCGAACCCCACTTTGTAGGGGACCAAAATTTGTTTGCCCCCCCCCCAAAAAAAAAAATGTGTATTCTGGATCCGCCATTGCATACCATTGTATGAGATAAACAACAACGGAGGGGAAGTTGGAGCTCAAAGATGCTAGGTGTTGAAGAATACTGCACACATTGGGATTTGTTCATGCAGTGGCGGATCTCCTCCCCCCCCCCCCCCCCCCCCCCCCGCATCCAACTGCTGACTAATGGTATGCCACTTGCAGGGCAAAAATAATAAAAGGGTTGAACAAGTTTTACTCAAACTTCCCACAATATTTTCTCAAATTGCCTTAGAATGTAGGAGAAATCATCGCAGATTTTAACATTTTCGGTGGGGGGATCATGGGATGCCCCCGGACCTCTGTAGCTGGGCGGGCCTTCCACACGCCTTCACTGTCCATGTATGTTCATTCCTCATTCAACCAACGTGCATTAGCGCGTAGGCACACTTCGTTTTGAAGCAGACAACAGCGTTTTTACGCTGGCAGACGACAACATTTCTATAGTAGGTAGCAGGGAAAACAACATATCGGGTCTCTGACAACCATAATCAAATCAGTAATGACAGGTTCAGATATGAAGCCACATTGTCGTTACGACTAGCGTCTTGGGCAAGACTAAAATGACACATGACCAAAACATGACTTTTAACGACTGGATCCGTTATCAAACTAAACTCAAATCAACGACTTCTCGTCATTTTTCAATCATTAATTTCTACCTGAAAACCAAATATCTCAGACAAAATTTAAAAACAGAAAGGAAGAGGGAAAACAAATAAGGATGTTAGAATTGTTTTGTTGAATCCGCCGGAGAAATTTTTGCAAATTTGCAAATTAATTTCTTCCATTCAATCTACATGGCGTAGCCGTTTAGAATTAAACATCAGAATCGATTCTCAATTTCGAGTTAAGACGAGTAATTTATCCGCATATCTTAACGTGCTTCGTTGACGGTGAATTATTCGACTTTGGTATTGATTTTCTAGAACGCTACTTATGAAAAATAAGCAATGAAATGGACCTATTCATAAGATGGAATATGCGTCGGGTGATGTAAATCCATATTAGGTTGTGCCCTTCACCGACATAACCCTAATCCTAACCCTTACCCTGACCACCCTTAACCTAACCGAGATTTGCGTCGGGATGATGCAATGAAATCAACAATAAAATATAAATCTTCGTGTGATAAATCAAACTCAAACCTCGAAAAATTAAAAGTTAACTCAAATCTCGAAAAGTCAACTCGACACTCGAAAAGTCAACTCAAAACTCGAAAAGTCAACTCGAAACTCAGAAAGTCGAATTAAAACTATGTACATGGCAAAACACTAACACAAAAACCATTCACATTCATAGTAGGCTTTGCATATGCATGTACTTTGACTGGGGGCAGCACAAGTGGCATGAAAGCATCCGTACACGACAGTCTTCAGTTTTCGATTATACAGGGTGAGTCCAAAAAGCGGAACCCAAACGCCAAAAATTATATTTAATATTTAAAAAAATATGTAGCACCAACAATAATAATGACTGGAAAGATAATTTCATAAGCTACTTTTAGATGAAAAAAATTACTGAAATTGGTCAATCCACTCAAAGAATATTACCATTTAAACACATTGACTCTAAAACCTGTTTCGTCCAAAAGATGCGATTTCAAGAATCGTCGTCACAATTGTCTTTAAGCATCACCAGCGATAAAATCTCAGTTTAAACGTTAGCAATATGCAACAAAGTCCTTTTGAAGGCCCGTCTTTTAAAGTAGATTTTATATAATCATATTGTTTGCCTATGGGTTGTTAATCAAGATATTGTGTACTACAGTTGGTGACAGTTGTTGAAACAAGTATTCTGTGTCATTTTCTTTGTTGTTCCAAACATTCAAAACACACAATAAATTGATATTTTTTTTTGGACGAGACAGGTTTTAGGGTCATTGCGTTTAAATGGTGATATTCTTTGAACGGATTGACCAATTTCAGTAATTTTTTCATCTAAGTGTAGGTTATGAAATTGGCTTTCCAGACATTATTATTTTTGGTGCTACATATTTTTTTAAATACGAAATATATTTTTGGGGTTTGGGTTCCGCTTTTTTTGACTCACCCTGTATGCTCGAAATGCGGAGGAATCGATAGCTCTGGACGGCAAGACACAGTTTTGTAAACATTAAACGTTAGATTTTCTGTTCTGATCGTGTATTTCTGGTTTCAGGCTATTATTCCTTATTTGGCCCTTTTGGCGCGAAAAATTGTTTGAAATTGGAAGTGACCTTCCACAAAATGTTCTTTCCCGTATTCCAATTTTTTGTTTTCGTACACGACATCCACTTTATAGTTTTCATGAGAAAGTCAATAAATTTTGCAAATTTCGCAACAAACATTTTTGTCAAGTCCAAAACATTTTACTTTCGAACGACTTTTAAAAACAATACTTTTGTTAGAACTGTTTCGTTTCTAGAATATACAATTAATGCTACAGAATCATCATTTTGTTCATGAATATTAAATTTCTTATAAAGTATGTTACTTCTCTCGGTCAAATTCATATCAAGAAAATCTATCAAGAAAAACGATGCTTCAAACTAATTACGATCAAAGCGCGCGAAAACAGACACTTTCTGGTTTTACGCCGTTGTAAAGCACGAATCTTGCGCACGCGCACTTTGGTAATGAACATTATGAACATACGTGTGTCATGAATTGAAGGTCCCAATATTTGCGACCAATGCCTGTGTTAATCTTAAAAAGAACCTTGACATCCGACAAAAAAATATAGGAAGCTGTGGAATAAAATGTCCAATCATGGTACCATGAACTTTGCACGTCATGTAAATAATATACCGGTAGGTTTTCCCGGCCAATTTCCGAATGGTTCCGAATTGAATGGCTGATCATTTTCATTATCAGCCATTCAATTTCGCGTGATTTTTACACATCTGATCAAATTGGGGTTTCTTTTTCATTCCCGGGGCTTTCAATTTCGGGGCTTTCGTTTTCGTTCTGGGGCATTCTAGTTCGTTTTGGTGCATTCAAGACTTAATTTGTCGCATTCTTAAATTAAGTTTTTGACATCTTTTTACGGTTGACGCATTCAAATTAGCGAACGTCGGTGCGCATATGACGTTTTCCCATGCTTTTCTTTCTG